TTTTTTTTTTTTTTTTTCCTAATTCCTCTTCCTTTCTGTTGCATCCACTTGACCTGGGAAACTTCACATACCCTTGCTGTTTACTAAACAGGTGCATCGATGACTACTTTTTTCACAGTGCTATTTCTTTCAATTATTTTCTCCTTGCTCAGTTCTACCCAAGGAGAAGATCATCAAACTGGCTGGCTGCCTGATCATACATATTTTCATGACAACACAATACTAGTCTCCCTTACCTAGAGGAACCCCCCCATTAAGGTTTACTTCTTTTTCTAGGTCTCTATTTATGCTTAGTTTATTGGGAAAAATCCATCTTTCTTCTCTCTCATACCAAATCCCATTACAGATACATATGTTATCTATCAGCCTTTTCATGCTAATGTTCAAATGTTTCATTAAGTCAGAATTGTTGGTATAACTTCTAAGATCATTAGTAAGAATAGTGAAAATGAGTTCTCAAAGTTATGGGGTATAAGGTCTCAGTGAATCACTATTTATTCCAATGGCTTAAGTATAATAAATAACAACTAAACACTAGTAGTTTCTCAAAATAATGTCTATTTATCTTATATTTATTATACATCATAAAATAATATTCAGTAGAAAGTCATATAATTGAATCTAAACCTTCTTATGAATACACACACACACAAAGAAAGTCTATTTCTTTGAAGTAGGAGTTGCAGACCTCAGTACCTTAACTCAATATGCATGTCTGCTGATGGTTCTCTAGTTGCCTACATTGTAGTTATGGTCTCTTTCTTCCAATCGACTTCCATGGACACTTTCAAACCAAAACATATCTAGATGTAGATAAGGAATTACTTTATTCAGAAGAAAGGCTAATGAAATAGGAAGAATCCTCTGATATACAAAATCTGCACATACAACAAATCCAAATAGAAGCCCCCTACCCCAATGGGGAGTGTAAGCAGAGGCAAGGGGAGTGTAGACAAAGGAGGAGGTATAACCAGTGGGTTCTGACAAGAAATGTGTCTCACTGTGGTCAGCTGATGATCAGACTTTGAAGCAAAGGATGTGTGTTCCCTTTTGAATGTTTGTTCAGGCATGAAGGCAGTTATAGCTCAGCAGCCTGCACAAGGAGAGTAGCCTGAGTAACATTTTATCAAGACAAAACAGAGGGTGAAAGTGGGCAATGATGAATATTTTGTCACCACTGAAACCATCATTATGATATGAGGGCACATGTAAGAACAAGGTGCAGAGCTTCTAACACAGTCCTAAACTTTAATCATCTGGAAAATGGTTGAGAAAAAGCAACTCTCATTGATCCTTGAAAATCCAGAATTTCTAAATTAAGGAACACAATTATACCAGTTATCAATGTGATTGATGGACATTCTGACTCTACCTCTCCAACCCACTGGCTACATATTTTACAAAAATGAAAATTAGGTAACCATAGTGTGGAGATTATCCACTACTCTCCTGTCAGTTTGTCATACTGAGGTGGCTGTAATGCTCACACTTATGCAACCAGAATGTCTAATACCAGCAGAGTCACAAATGGATGAGAGCTTACAGTAGAGTTTCCAGACTAAGACAGACTAGGAAAAAGGACATGGTCAGCCACTTCTTAAAAAAATAAAAGCCCACTAAAAACATTATGAATAGTTATGGAACATTGTTAGACATAGTGCTGGAAGATGAGACCCTCAGATTGGAAAGCACACAAAATACAACTTGGGAAGAGCTGCCTTGTCAAAATAGAATTAAAAGTAATGACTTATGTCAATTAAACCTTTTGGAACCTTCATTTGCTGATATTGCATGACACAAAATGAGGAAAAAGAGCTGCACAAATCCACTAATAATCATAATGTGGAATATATAATGTACAAATTCAGGAAAATTGCAAATGGTCAAAAATGAAACCAAATTCATAAAAATTAATATCCTAGGCATTAGGGAG